TGCCTTGCAAATGTGATATTCTTCAGTTTTATTAACCTGCTAAAGATGTCCCTAAATGGCTCTCGGTTTCTCTGCTGGAGACAATCTCCTTGCTCTGTTTGCCTGTGGGCCTGACTCAGCACATACAAACTTCTCTACCCATTTGGAGTTGGATTAAGTCAGGTCAAAGGATACTGATTACACAGGCTCATCCAGGGAACCAGAGTAGGAATGTAAACACTTGGGTGAAGAAATGACCTCAGAGTTCATTCAGCTTCTCTATGTGTGCACAGTAAATTATCGTAATCCTTTAGCTAATTTTATTCTAAAAGGAGACGTGTTCAGAAAGTGGAAAAAGCAGAAAGGATCATGTTTTCTTTCCAAATTCTGAATATTCTATAAAAGAAGTGGAATGATGTAGCTGCACCCAAATAGCTGAGTTTCTGGTGTTAACCAGGTTTAAAGTCTGGGCACCTGATTTTTTCCAGATGATTCACATTTGAAAGGCAAAAATTCAAAATGTGCAACATTTTCCTTCCACTGAACAAATAATATAAATGTCTGTCTTTAGGTGACGGCTGGCAAAACACAGCATGATTAATCTGGGGACCTGCAGGAGTTCACCTTCAGTGACTTCACACTTACCACCTGTGTGATAAAAACACACCTGAAGCAGCTGTGAAATAAACCCAGGAAAAGAATTGCATCAGAATGAAATATTCCTTTTTTATGTGTTCTGAGTTGCAAAGAGCATAAAGGTTCTAACAAGAATGTACGAATTCAACATTTTTAAATGTATTATCAAAGCAGTAGATTGACATTAAAGAAAAATTTAAAATATCCCACAGATATTGTCATGATGAGAACATGGGCAAAAAGGCACGGATTTGAGATTTAGCTCAATTCACTGTTGACTTTGGAAGGTATACATACTTCTTTGAGCCTTTGCTTCCTTGTTACAAAATGAGTTCTGAAAATATAAATAATACAAGTGTCAATGTTCTGTAAAGGTGAGTTTTTATTCCCTGGTGCTCCTTTTATTTTTATCCAAGGGAAAAAATACGTACATACCTACATACATACAGATATACAGTCTCTTCTCCTAGTTTTTATTTATTGCATGCCTCACCTGTTTTGCTTTTTCTCTGGTTTCTGACTTTTCCATTCCTGACTCTCTGGGCAACCCTCAAGGGCATTTGCTTCTTATTCAAACTACGATTCTGTTTCTCTCTCTCAAATTCTCTGCTTCGCAGCTCATTGGCAAGGAGCTCCAGCCTACCTAATTACCTTTGTCAGCCTCTGTGAACGCCTTGCCAAAGGTGAAAGGTGCCTTATTTTTTAGGATAGGAAAGTGGATTTCAGGGGCCACCGGGGGCCACCAGGGAAGAAGTCACACTGCTTAGATGTAACAGAGCCACAACAAGAGACCAGTCCAGCTCTTACTCCAGGGCTTTCTCCACCAAAGCTCCAACCAGGAACCCTGTTTTTTGCTTGGGCTTTAGTTTGAAAGCACATAACTTAACACTCTCCTTTCCTGTTCAAAATTCTCATTGTTGAAACCATAATTCTATCTATCTATCTATCTATCTATCTATCTATCTATCTATCTCATCATGACTTCTATTTGTCAGTGGGCACCATGTGCCAGGTCCTGTGCCAAATGTGTCATACAAATAATGTCATTGAATGGACAAAATACTGTATTTGAATGGAATTTTATGGTTGAGGAGACTGAAATGCTGAGAGGGAAGTGACTTACCCAAATACATAGAGGTACAGGTTGAGTACCCCTAATAAAAACATCCCAAATCCAAAGTACTCTACAATCTGAAACTTTTTGAGCACTGACATAATGCCACAAGTGGAAAATTCCACCCTGCCCTCATGTGATACATCAAAATAAAAACACAGGTGCGCTAAAAACATCATATAAAATTACCTCCAAACTATGTGCAAGCAGTATACATGAAACATAAATGATTTTCATGTTTAGACTTGGTCCTATCCCCAAGATATCTCACTATGTATATGGAAATATTCCAACTCCCTCCTAAAAAATCCAGAATCTAAAATAAGTCTGGTCTGAAGCATTTCAGATAAGAGATACTTCACCTGCACTACACAGAAGAGCTGTGATTCTATAGCCAACTGGACTCAAAACCCTAATCCCAACCCCAACCCCAAACCCGGCCCTGACTCTAACCCTAATCTTACAAACCCCTCTGTATTTGCTGTTTTGAATGTTCCTACCAGGCCTGTCCAGCTCCCCTTGACTACCCTAGAGTGTCAGCCCGTCTTGCTGTCTTTCTCACAGCTTCAAATCTTACCTTCTCTTCCAGATATCCTCTTCAGATGGGTCAGCCAGGAGTTGAGAACATTCCTGTCTGAATGTGGTATTCTGGTGGCCACAGTAGTAAGGTAATCATTCATTCTTCTTTACTCTGCATCTTTCACTCAGCCATGCACTGGTACATTTGAGTTTGCCTCTGCTGGGCTTAAATCCTGTGTTCCATCAGCATCTCTGGTCAGCCTGCAGCTGCTTCACTTCTGTAGAAAAACGAGCAGCAGCCCAATGGGTATTTCCAGCAAACAACAGGTGCTTTTTATCTACAGAATCAGAGGAACTCATAATACGTATGGCTGTGAGACTCCCTGCCTCCAGACCCACCACAGGAGAGCCATGGTGGTTGTGGAGAAACCTGTGGCTATGAGGGGACCTGAAGCACTTCACCTTGAGAGCAAGTGGAGTAAGTGGGTATCCTCAGTTGTGAAAAACGATTCACTCAGAGGGTCACCAAGAATCACCTTAAAAAGTATGAGAAAGGGGCCGGGGATTTAGCTCAGTGGTTTCACCGCCTGCTACGTAAGCGCAAGGACCGGAGTTCGATCCCCAGTACCAAAAAAAAAAAAAGTATGAGAAGGGCTGTCGTGGGGAAGTGGAATTTGTCTTCTGTCATGTGTCCCATAAAGGGGAAGCAGGAACCATGTTGAAAAATGGGTGAATCACAAGGAAGAGCAGCTGTGCAAATCCTTCTTTGGAAAGAAGTGGCACCTACACTGTCAGGACTTTACCCCATGGGGCACTGGCATTTTCTACTCCTTGGAGCCATTCAGGTAGTTACCAAGCAGGGCTGTCACAGAGGGTCCACCCCAGGGACTCAGCTTCTCTGGCCTGGAGAGCAAGCTCTCCACCTGGCTCTTGACCTGGAGGGCAAGGCATATGGATGCCAAGGCTCAGCAGTGGCCTTAGAAGTGGAGAGGCTCCTCACTAGGAGCAAGCCAAGAGCACTAGGCTGTCCTGTCCTCAGGACTGGATGGTCAGTGGGAGGGGGTCCCTCTGCTGTGGCATAGCAGGCCGGTGGAGGGCAGAGAGCTCTGCTTTGTTGGAGAGCCAGGAAATGGCACCCCAAAATTAGAGCCACCATGGTTCTTGTGAGAGCTCTCCAGAGCTCTCTTCTCCAGCCTCTGCCTCTGGAGTAGATGTCCCTCAAAGACCTAAAGCTGAGCGAAGTGTTTCTATTCTTAAGTGTAAATGGGGGAGAGTAGTAGTCTTTTCCTTTAAGTCTTTCCTCAAATCTTACCTGAGAGGCCATCCCAGGTGTGCTTTTCCTATTATGACTTCATGTCTTCAGCCTTCCTGATCCCTTCCTGCCTTATTTTTCCCTATTGCACGTCTCACCTTCTAATGTATTGCTTAATTGGCTTACTAATTTTTGTCTGTCTGCCTACCTCCAACACCGGTGCCATAGGGCAGGGGTCTTGGCCTATTTTGTCCCCAGCCCCAAGTGTAAACCAAGAAATCATAAACAAGGCTCACAAGAGAAGCTAAGACAGTTTTATTTAGGTGCAGAAAAGATTTGCAAATTGGGGACACTGGCTCAGTGTCCACCAAGGTTAGGCAGGACCAAGGCTTTTAAAACAAAAAGAGCATGCTTAGGGAAAAGATAAGCAGAACTGAAGTGGGTTCAGCCGTTGGAAACTGGCGTCAACCAGAGCAGTCACAAATTTTTTAAATCCATTGAAATGTTGGGGCCAAGAGGCAACTGGCTAATGACATGCTTGTCAAACCTTGCAACATACTGTCATACTTTTTGAAAATTGCTATCTCTGTCAGATTCAGTCTTGATATGATGCCTACGTGGCAGTTTACTCAGATCAGAAAAATCTCCCTTCTTCAAAAAGGATGTTTGCTTTCTTTTTTGACCATTCTGCAGCCAAGTTGATTTTTTGTTATCCCTAGAACAAGACCAGGCATGTAAGAGGCACTCAATAAATATTTGTTGAATGAATGCATGAAAGATATATGTAAAGCATCTCACAGGATACCCAGCACCTTATCATTATTGCTGCGACTGCTGTTTGTTATGTGCGATTTGTGCAGATTCCTTAGTCTGTCTGGCCATTGTCTCTCCATCTGTAAAATGAGAAGAGAGAACCACTAGATGATCTCTGCACTTCCGTCACACTCTAAGACTCTTAGCACTCCCAAGTGCTGAGAATCTCCAATGCTCTTGCTCTGTCAACTGTGGAGATGCATAGATAGCTCTTCTATTTCTTTTGACTCTGAGGATCAGAATGGGATGCAGATGTGGGATCATGTCAAACCAATAGTTCCTGGATCGGTTTCCATTCAGATATTTATGTGTTTTATTGTAATTAACTTTGAGGTGTCCTTTCATAACCTTTTTATTGTTTTCAAGAGAAGTAATTTATTATCGTATGTGCATAATAAAAGCCATTTAATTTCTTGGTTAAGAATTTTCATAGAAATAAGTGGAGTTCAGAAAAAAGAAATTTGCAGGCCAAGAGCCCTGATTTGGCATTTGGACATGCAGTCCTTGGAGATGAAGGTCACACTGCCCTGCCCTCTATGGGGCCCTGCCCCTAGCCTTGGGCATCCTTTGTGGGAGTGGGGCACCCTTTAAGGGATCAGGTCAGCAGGGCTAAGCCATCTTCTCTCTGAAGCTCACTCTGGAGGAGGAAACCTGGAGCCCTCCGGAAGCCTCCCGGTGGCCTCTGTGGGAGCAGTTTCAGGAGCAAAGGCAGCTAGCTTCAAGCTCCCCCTATTCGCTGAGTGACTGGGATGGCCCAGGACAGGGCAGACAGACAGGTCTGGCAAGTTCCGTGGTTTTTGTACTCAGGATTACCTCACACATCCCAACCTGGTTTCCCCGCCCCCATTTGGTGGGGGCCAGCCCTCAGCCTCGACCTCCTTTTCCCCACATGCTGGGGGAGCCTCGGGCCAACATGGCTCTTCTCCTCGACAGCAGCTGAGACTGGAAGGCTCATCCCTCCGAGGCCATGGAAAGGGACAGCTGCTGGGTAAGTGTATCTGTGAGCCTGTGCTGGGGAGCAGGGACAGAGCCGGGAGGCAGGTAGGGCGCTGCCACCTGTGTGGCTGGGGTTTTGTGGGAAATTGAATGTGCCTTTTCCGGTTGGAAGCTACTTGGGATTGAGAGTTTTTGGCCTTGTTTTTATTTTGGCCCCTAGAAGGAGCCCCTGAGGGAGAATCTGATGGGGTTGGGGTCTGGACACACATCTCAGGGCTGCATGGCTGAATCCTGCTGTGTGGCTTCTGAGCACTCTGCCCAGGACATCTATGTTGTTAGGTGGATGACTCTGCTGTTAGCTTGTTGAGAATTTAATCAAACCTAATTATTGCTATTTGATAATTAAGAGCATTTTTACCTAATCTTCAAGGTTATCTTGTGTAACACATTAGCTAGATTCCTAAACCTTCCCAGGAAAATGTGGCTTTCTATGTGCATTGAAGATTTTCATGAGGATTTTTTCAACCACTCTTGATCACTTAGTTTTTGGCTTAATAAGGCTCATGTTTGGGCAGGGCTTCCTTATATCTAACCACACTTCCTTCTGCTGCAACCAAGATTCTTCTTCTCTTGGGGGTAGTAGAGAGCAGCTAGAAAGTAGCTCTGTGGACAAGCCAGTAATACACACGTGAAGGCTTCCCAAGGCCTTATTCAACTGTGCCTCTGCTTTCTTTTCTTGAGGAATTTCCCTCGGTTCTCTAACTTTTCCTTCAGTCTTGTTTTCTGCTCCATTCCGTATTGTCTATATTTGCTGATGTGATAAGAAATGGGACTCTGGGAAGAATGGGTCAACCCTAGATTTGAGAAAGATCAACTTATCCTACATTGTAGCCGATGGTTATCTTGTGGTCCATTCTGAGCCCCAGATGTGCTTCTCCAATCTTCACCATCATTTCTCCCACTATTCTTTCAGCCGCCTCTTGACTTTCTCCCCCTAGACCCCAGATCCCTCTGCTGGCCTTTTCTCTGGCCTTTCTTTCTCATATCTCCACCTCACCAAGGTAATTAGGCCTTGGGTCCCTGGAGCTCAATGGAGTCTGGTGAGCAGAAAGGGTGGTACACCAGGCAGAATGGAGTTTTGTCCAAAACTTGGGGAAGATGAATCCACAGTCACAGCTATGGTGTGTCCTGCTTTGTCGCTTATTGGGATCCTAAACTTGATGGTTCCTAAAGCAACCAGGTGGCCATGTGCATGTTGGAGGTGATGTTAGGGGTAGGGACAGGGTGATAGAGGTGCTGTCTGCCTAGGCAGCTCATCTCTCCAGAGTAAAAGACCAGCAACCAGGGAAGGTTGCTGGAGCAGCAGAGAACGGAGAATAGGCCTTTCACTTTTGATTGGAAAATGAGGACTCCCAAGTAACTTGTGAACTAAGTGTCAAAGATATGATAGATCCCAGGATCATTCTGGAAAAGAAATTTTCTGAACTTATCTTGGAGTGAAAGAAACAAACCATTTCATTCCTTTAAGGCTTTTAAATCTGCCACCTTATTTAGGGTGAAATGAACCTGGGGTGGAGGCAGGGAGAGCTATAGTTGGGCCTTCTAATCTTGTCTGCAAATGTCTTAAGATTGATCAAATAGGAGTGGGTTGGAAGAGACTGGTCATGTGAGGCCATGCCTTCTCCCCGAGGGTTTTATTGTAGAGAGAAGCATTGTGCTCTTTGTCTTTCAGCTCCAAAAATAGCAAGGAAGACTGGTCCATAGGCTTAGACCTGATAATGCTCCCATAGGAGGCACTGGGTTTTCAGAAGGATCTTGCAAGGGGGATCCCAGCTATGCAGGAGGTGAATGCATGAGTCGAGGCCAGCTTGGACAACTTAGCAAGACTGTCTCAAAAAGAAACAAACAGAAAAGCTGTGCTGTGGTGGACAGAGAACTGATCAAGTTTTGGGCAATTACTTAAGCTCCATGTACCTAGTTTCTTCATCTGTAACTGGAATAACAGCACTTACCTCAAGGAGTCTCAGAATAGTCTTCCACATGGCAAAGTGCTTCCAAAATAGCATCCAGCTTAGATAAAGATGCAGATATAGTTACAGTGTTAAGAATTATTGCCATCATCATCACTACCATCATTATCATCATCATCTAGGGACTAATCCTGGCTCCTAAATTTGGACAAATATTTTCTCTTCCCCATGCCTCAGTTTTCCCAGCTACCAAAGAAGGTTGGACAAATTGCTCTCTGAGATCCTTTTCTGGCTCCATGGCAGTCACTGGAATTAGAATCGACTGCAGGTGTGCATTTGTTCTTGCCAAATAGTGCATATTTTGTGCTTTTTCAAAATGAGTCATATTTTTTAATGCTGTGAGAAATGCAATACTTGTTAAAGCTAGACTGAATAGACCCATTGATAAAGCCACAATCCTTTGTAGAACAGATTTTCCTATACTGGGAATTCCTAAAATGGAGCTGATTCTAAATCAGCCCAAGACCACAGATACTCTGGATTAATGAGACCCAGGAATATCCAGGATGAGGCATCTTCCCCAAACCAGGCTAGGCAGGTTCCCAAGATGGCAGATGAGTAGACTCAGGTCTCTCTTCCTTGCCCCAGCCCCAAAGTGCAGACCCTCTGGAGTCACCACCTGAGATTTCTGCTTCACCTTTTCATTGGTGCTGAGCAGCCTTCCATCCGGTACTTCCTGCCACGCTTTCCTCTGCATTGTCCTCTATGACTTGACAAATGGGAGCATAAATGTGTGGGAGTGTGCGTATGGGACTGTAGGCTGGGTGCTGGGTGGGAAGGTAGACTGATGTAACAGTGGCCACTTAGTTTAAGTGTCTTGTTTTGCCAAAACAGCTTCCTCTTGGTATAGCAACAGTGAGGATGGACTGTGCTGGGGCAAGTGAGTAGGGTGGTAGTGGAGGTGGCACGAGGGAAGACACCACAGAACCCAGCTTGCCAGCTGAGCAGGAGGCCTGGGCAGCACCAGGTGGAGGCTGTTTCCTCTTCAAGGGAAACAATACCCAAGACAGCCCAGGGAGCCCCCGGGATGTGCCAGCCCGGGCTGTGTCACCACCACAGTATGGCAGAAAGGGAAGGCATAAATACTGAAAGATGGAGGCAGGAAATATTTGCTTGGCAATCGTGGGCACTCAAAAACTGAATGAAGCCATATGAACAGGAGACGCTTCGATGCTGATCCAACAGGGATGTCCTGGGCTCATTCATGTGTATAGAAGGCATCCTAAGCCAGAAGGAATGTTAGTGCTCAAGCAAGGAGGTCATTTTCAAGGTCTTTGTAGTAGCTTCTTATTTTGTTCAAATGAAATGTCACGTAAGAGGGCACTGTGTGAAACTAAAAAGCAAATCTTGTCTCTCTGAGGTAAGGGGAGGACTCAGAGCTCTGCCACAGCCTTTGCTGCTGATCTCCACAGCACCACAGTTCTGTGCAGCCCCCACTGGAAAATGGCTGATTGTCCAACCCTTTCATTTACACATGAAGGACCTGAGACCTAGAGAGGGATGTGATTGTCCCCAAATCAGCTGGCTGGCAACAGAGCCAAGATCCCTGTGCCTATGAGGTCTTACACCTCCTTAGTCTGACTCACAGTCCAATGGGGGTCCCATAGTGTACACAGGGAAGCTGGTGCTGGGTGCAAGGAAGTGCAGCTGCTAATCTGCCTGCTTCTGAGAGGGCCTGTTTGTGGAGTTTCTCCAGGTTCGAGAAGGAGAGTAGATGAAAGCCCCTGTTCCCAGCGGCACAGTGAAGCCTGGATCAGGCAGTGAAGAGGAGAAAGAAGCCACTCCAACCCCAGGCAGTCAGTACACTAGTGTCCCTGGTGGGGGTTGGGAAGTGCCTCTTCCTGCCTAGTCTTGAATTCTGGGGTTCCTGCCTGTGCCCATCTATTTGAAAGCCCTTGATACTCAAGGTGATTGGGAAAGAGGGAGGTCTCAGAGGTCTCAGTCTAAGGGTGGGAAGGGCAGAAAAACCAGGAGAGCACAGAGACTAAGAATGATGCCAGGGGCTCAGGCTTCTATTCCTGCCTATGTCCTCTACTGGCCTTTGTGACCTTGGGCCAGTGACAGGGCCTCTCTGAGACTCATTGCCTTATTTCTAGGATAAAATGCTTGGATTGGAGGGGTTCCTAAGTCCTTTCAGCTCTGATGACCTATAACATGCTCAGCCTGCCCCAGGGTGGTGGTTTTATGAAGCGGTGGCCTGAGGAGGGAGCTTGCCTGGGACCTGAAATTTCCCGAGGGGCCTGCCTCAGACTGTGAAGGTGTGTCATCACTGCTGTTGCCACCACCATGGGCATTCTTCAGGTAGGGTCCTTCTCACTGTTTTCCTGGGTCTCTGAGCAGCAACAATGCACCTCTTCTAGAGGCCAGGCTGAAGCCACTTATGATCTGGCTGTGACATCACTCAGCGTAGACAGGGGCCCCTCTCCTCTGTAACATCTCTGGCTAGGCCCACAGGAGACCCAGAGGAGGCCAAAGGCAGGACACCCTCAGGGTTCCTTAACTAACTTCCAGCCCACATTAGGTGAGGGCCAAAGGGGCAGAGCTGTGTGGGAAACCATAAAAATGTTCCACTCACCTGGGGCCACAGAATTGACCTGTGGGACCTGAGGTTTAGAGGACATTAGACTGGGAATGGGACTTGGCATGTTTTAGTCCCTGTTCTGCTGTAGGAGTGACCTGAGCAACTTTGGGCAAAGCATATAAATGTTTCAGGCTGCTACTTCCTAGTGTCCAGGAAATGCTTGAAATGAGCCTCAGAGTCAGGGGCTACTCTTCTCAGCTCTTTTCCTGGCCCACCTCTCACTGCCTTTCTGGGGATCCCTACCCGGCATCCTCCCATGCTGCCCCTGCCCCGTAATGCCTGAAGGCTCTAGGCATTCTTTGAATAGGATCCCCCAGGTGCTGCCAAAGCACAGCCAGGTGGCAGCAATGGCAGGCTGGGGTGAAGGCCTGTTTCATGGCACAGGAAGAGCATGGGGAACTCCCAAAAGATAACCCTAGAGGCCACCTTTGGGTAGCGGGGGAGGAGGAGGAGAGCCAGGAAAGAGTGACTGGCAAGGAAATAGCCCAGAGCCAGCCAGGTGCCTCTGCTCTGCCCTGTCCACCCACCCCTGCCTGGGCTGAGGAGCCTCTGGTCTGCCGTAAGGGTGTGGAGAGGTCAGTGCATAGCAAGGATTTCATCATCTGAATCCCATTCCTGGGTCTTGTGCTACTGGTAAAGGCCAGGATTTGGGAGGCCTTAGTTCTGGTCCTGGCTCTGTCCCTTGCACCTGGAGGCCTAGAACAAAAAGTCTCTTCTCTTCCCTGCTGTCACAGCATCTCCTCTTAGAGTCAGGGCAAGCCTCCAAGTGGGAGGATGGAATCTCAGCAAATGCTCTCCATGAGTTGGAAGGAAATGAGTTGGTGCTATAGCAGGTAAGACATCAGGAAGAACTTCCAGCAGGGTGGAGTGGCAGGCCATGGAATGCCTCAAGAGGGGTGGCTGTGGGATGTTCCATTCTGCTGGTCCCTGAGGATGGGGATGCTGACCATCCTGCCATGTTTGGGTTGAGGTTCAGAGTCAGGAGGTGGACTGGATGGCCTCACTGTGGCTGATGTGTCCCTTTGGTCTCGGGGCTGCCCTTCCAGCTGACATCTCCACAGTTCTTACTCAAATCTTGGAGTCCTGGGACTCTCCTCCTGTCCTAGTTTTAGGGACCCACCACTGTCCTCCTGCCTCCCCCAGCTCTGACAGCATAGTGCTCCCCTTACCAAGGCCAGGGCGGAAAGCTACTCTAATGCAGGGATGCCAGGTTCTTTTGGGACATGGCCCATTCTGGCTGCTCCTAGCTTCCCACCATACCAGCCCAACTTCCTCTCGGTTTAACTCCCTCCTCTGCTCCAACCTCACAAAATGCATCCCTATTTTCCCTCTGACCCCATGACCTTCTCAGCCCTTTCTCCTCCAGCCCTGGCTCCTTGGCTCCTGGCTCTCATGATGAAGTGACAGGGACGGTATCACAGGGTCACACTGAGATGGAGACAGCATGAGCACTTGACTGGGATTTAGAAGACTGTGTTAGAGTTCCTTAGTTTGGGGTAAAGTGTGAGTTTGGCCAACCGGTCTGTCTCTCTGAGCTCCAGCTGCTATTCCTGCCCAGCTTGCTCACTAGGTGCTTGTGGGAGTCAAACGAAATAATGGATGTAGACCTTTGCAAATGATGAACATTGAAGAGAGGAAGGAAATTCCTCTGGGCACTTGTGATACTGTTGGTCAAGACTCTACTTGTTCCTAGCAGGCCTGGTTAGATTCAAGCCCTGTCACTTCCCTGGCATGTTCTGAACCTCCTTGTACCTCAGGTTTGATAGCTGTAAAGTGGAGTTAACAATAGCAACTGCAAAGAGCTGTAATGAGGTTGAAATGGGATCAAGTAAAGTACCTTCTGGGATGTTATCCTTATTACTGTTAGACACACATTTGTAGACATGGTTTCATGTATAGTTCCCATTTATCTGGAGGAAGGAGGTAAGATTCGTCCCATTTTACATGTGTGGAAACAGGATCCGCATTAGGAATGGATGCAGTCATGTTCACACAGATCTTTCTATTTCAAGCCTGGTATTCTTAAACAAACAACAGCCTCCATCCAAGTCAATGTCGCCCAAAGCCTTGCTGAGTGACTGGTGTTCTGCATCTATCATCCATGACTACAATTCTGTGAAGCATGGTGACTAGCTAGACCTTACTGATAAGGAAGCTGAGATGTAACGAGGTGGAGGTGAGGTGATGTCACTTGCCCAGTGTCACACAGTTGGATTCCAGCGGAGTCCCTCCAACCCTGACTGCTGAAGCTGTAGGTCACTATTCTCCACCCAGTCCTGGCAGGTCACAAGGTCCCAACCACAGTGCACATCAGAAAGTACCCACAAGACCAAGATCTCTGTGGGAACCCCAGGCTCTCAGTGCTGACCTCACCTCTGCAAAGCCCCCTAGTCCCAGTTCTCTGGGACCTGAATGCAAGATGAGCACCTTGGGCACATGTTTTAAAGAGCAGACACCATGGGAGGGTGATTTAGCTCAGTGGTTCCACCTCCTGCCTCACAAGCACAAGGACCCGAATTCGATCCCCGTTACCAAAAAAAAAAAGAAGAAAAGATCAGACACCAGGGTCTCTCCTGACACAAGAGAAGCAGAAAACTCAGATGGAGTACTCACTGTATGGTTGTAGTAATCCAGCTCAGAGCATTAGCTTCCCCATCTGTAAAGTAGGCTTCAGGAGACCACAGACATAACATTTATTGGAAACTCTGAAGTGCCACATACAAGTGAGAGCTTCATGTTTTATTCCATGAAATGATAGGGATTCCCGCTGAGGTTAGGGAAGAATCACAGTGTGAATTTACAAAGACTGAGACCAAGTAGGTCAATGGAGGTACAATAATGCTAGGGTCCACTGCTAGGAAGCTCAGAGCCTTACATGGCAGGGCCTTGACCTTCTAAATAAAGGATCTCACTCTAATTTTTGTCCAATTCCCTCTTCTCTCCCCAAGATGAGCTCATCCCATGGTTGGTGCTGTGTGTGCCATGGCAAGGTGGCATGGAGCAGCCATTTCCTGGGTAACTTCTGTGTGGCAGGCACTGACAAGGGCTGTCCTAAGGAGTAATCTTATTTCACAGATAAAGAAACAGGCTTAAGAAGTTGAATGGCCCACGGTTGCACTGCTACCAGATGATAAGACCCAAGATTGGGGCCCTCCAAAGTCAGCTCTGTCATCTGACCTATTATCTCCTTCCACCACTCCTTGCTCCAAACCTCAGTCCTGTTCCACTCACAGCTGCCTGAGGATAGCATGTCTTTTTTTATTTTTTTTTTTTAATCTTGTCACTAGACAATGGTCACGAGAGGGTGACTGTGGTCCTGGGTCACTTGTATCAGGCATTCAGGACCCTAAACTCACTCAGATGTGTCCTGCTCAGTTGGCCAGAGCATCAGCACTCCTCAGTGTTTACCCACATCCACTAGTAGGAAATTCTCTAAGAGAGTCATTCATGTCTCTCCCTCTGGCAAGCTTTGTGTTGTCAGGAGGTCAAGATTTCTCCTTGAATTTTTTGCTCAGCCCCCAGAAAAATGAGGGCACTTCCCAACAAATTACTTCTGACTCCCAGAAGAGAGAGAAGATTTAAAAAGCAAAACCCAAAAGTTATGCTTGGTAGGGATGATGGTGCTGACTTGGACCAGATGTTCTAATGAGGAGGACTTAGAGCTGGTCTGCTTAGTAACAATGTTCAACATGTTTAAGCACCATGGTCCATGAAGGAAGGAAATAGAGGTGCAAGAAGTCCAGAGCCTTCTGTTTCCTTGGCACAAGACTGCAGCCTGAACTACTAGGTCCCTGTTGCCCTTTTCCATCATCCCTCCTAGGCAGCCAATCGTGCTCAGCAAACATTAGAATGAGGGTTAGATGTAGGCTTTGGACCACCTGCTCTGGGATCTCAGGAGGTAGCCAAACAAGCAGAGATGGTCAGAGGGGGTCAGAGAGACCTGTGTAAGGTGGGAGAGGGAGACCTAGACTGAGAGCAGCAAGCTGAGGGTGCTCAGGTGCTTCCCATGATCGTGGCTGCCCATTGGCTTCTTGTCTCAGACCTAAAGCACCCCCAAGCACAAGCTCTCCTGAAAGCAGCAATACTGGCTTTCTCTGGCTGCCTTCTCTATGCAGGCCTCCTTGGGGTTTCCCAGAGCCCCACTCTCTGTGTTCAAATCCTAACTCTGTTACTTTCTACCTCTGAAAAATTGGTCAAGTTGCTTCATCTCTATGTCCCTGTTTCCCCTTGTGCAAAATGGAAACAATAATGGTCCCTAGCTCATAAGTTGTTAAAAGGATGAAATGAGTAAATCTAGATAAAGCACTTAGAGGATATTATGTTGTCTTTGCACATAAATTAACACAGCAAATGTGCATTAATAAATTGCTCTACCTACAGATGGGCAAGGTTAAGGATCATGTCTGTGTGTGGTAGTCACACCACAGCCCACACATCTTCTTCTCTTCCTGCAACTTGTCATTCCAGCTTCCCTGATGGACTAGGGGTGAGCGTGTGTGTGCTTGGGTGTGTGTGTATACATGCGTGCACGTGTTCAGGGAATCTATGTTACTGAGAAAGGAGACTACAAGGCAGCCCAGGGTCTTCTTAAGCAGTACTTTTCACACTTGAAAAAGCTCAGGGTAAGAACAATATTTTATAATTTAATAAACATCCATGAAAGAAAAGGGTGGTAGAATGAAAAAAGGAAAAGGGGTGGTTCCTTCCCCCACAAGGGAGCCCGTTTCCTAGATACGAGGTGTCACAGTGAGTGTGCAGAGCAGCAGCTCCTTCTTTTGACTCATCCCCTGAGCAGCTACTCCCAGGTCTGGGCAGATGACTGTTTTGCTTTGGTCTCCTCTGAAATTCTGTGAGGGGGACTCTGAATGGGAGCATGGGACAAGTAGGCTCTTTGAGCTTTCATTCTATCCTTGGTTATGCTCTTCTTCTCACATACTTCCTTGTCCATCCCCGCAGTCACCTGCACCAGAGCATGTATTCTCAAGCTTAGCAGGGCCCACAGCCTAGGTGTCCTGGCAGGAAGAGCCTGAGGGATGCTCCTCATTCTGTTTGTAGAACACCTCCCCTGCACGGACACCTCCAGCCCAGGCCTCACCAGCAAGGACACCTCCAGCCCAAGCCTCACCAGCAAGGACACCTCCAGCCCAAGTCTCACCAGCAAGGACACCTCCAGCCCAGGCCTCACCAGCAAGGACACCTCCAGCCCAAGTGTCACCAGCAAGGACATCTTCAGCTCAGGCCTCTCCTGCAAGGACATCTCCAGCCCCAACTTCTTCCACCCGGAAATCACCTTCCAGGTCATCGTCTAGCAGGTCATCTGCCAAGTCAGCCTCCACAACATCCTCCCCGACAAAAGCATATCTTGTTAGAGCAACACCAGTTGCTGTCCCAATCCAAGCATCTCCTGCCAGGTCAGCAACAGCTGCCAGGACCACCAGGCAGAGGCTAGGTAAGGGGACTCTGCAGGGAGGGGCAGGAGAAATAGGGCAGCAGTCTATGGGCAAGGGGAAATCTCAGCTGGCACTCTGCTCCTTGTGCCCCTGGGACAATGATGTGGGGGGATGGTTGGGGTGGGCCCTGAGGGATTTAGTAAAAAGAAACTATTGCAGAAAAACCCCAAGAGAGTAGAAAATTAAGAGCAAAGGAGGAAGGGAGGTAGAAACCAGGACCAATGAAGCAGTGTGCGGAGAAGGAAAGGAGGGATTGGGACCAGGCAGGCATCTTCACCCCAACCTTCCAAACTCTAGATTGCCTGGTCCAGCCACTAGGAAGTCAGGAAGCCCAGTGGGCCTCAGAGCTCTGCCCTTAGGGAAGCTCTCTCCACTCCTTCTGGACATCAGGCTCCACCACAAAACACACAGGCCCGGCGGATACCTGATACCGAGGTTTGGGGCCCATCCCAGTCTTGCCTTCTTAAGGGTGGATGAGGCACTTTGGTGGGATGAGCTCTGGAATAGACTGCATTTGAATCCTAGCTCTGCCATTCAGTATCCTTGGGCAAGTTATTTCATTTCCATGAACCTTACTTTCTTCACCTATAAATGGGCCTAATAAGACTCAGCTCACAAGGATGCTGTGAGAATGAAGTAAAAGAACACATGCAGTGTTCTGGCTGGCTCAGAGGAGGAGCTCCATCAAAGGGTTGGTAGGTATCAGGCAGAGGCAGAGCCATATTCTAGGGCACAGAAGCCCTAATGGAGCCCTTTCGGGACTGTTTTCTTCTCCGTCCTCCACCACACCAGACTCCTCTCTAACTCTTACTCTCTCCTGCTGCCCTGCTTCCAGGTCTCGGCTTGCCCAAGTTCTCCTGGCAGGAAAGCAAGAAGCAGCTGCCACTCATTGGGTGCATCTTCCTCCTCATTGCCCTCGTGGTCTCACTCATCATTCTCTGTGAGTTGAATGGAGGGACTAGTGCTGGGTTCCAGTCATTGCTGGGTGAAATGGGGCCTGGGCATGGGGCGGTGCTGCAGGGACAAGGGACCCCATAGTCACCTGGCCACCATGTTCACACAGGGACACTCCTCCAAATAGCCACAGACGAGGGTGGGGCCAGGCCTCTTTGAGGTAGCCGAGTTAGGAGTATGGGATGCTCTAGGAACCACGACTTATGTCGCCCTGTAGTGCCTACTGTGCAACTTATGTGGGCAAGTGAGTTAGCTGTGCTGAGCTCAGCGTTTGCATCTACAGATGGAATAAAATCCATCCATCCATCCATTCAACTCACCATGCGCCCTATCAAATTTCATGTCAACCTCAGTGGAGTAAATGAGAGGAGTCTGGCACAAAATTTCACTCTAAAAATGCTTGTTATTAAAAAAACCCCATGAAACATTGATTGGAAAAAGTCTTTTGAGAATATTTGGTCAAAGGATACAGTCTTCAGTGTTCAGGAGTTCAGGCCATCTCAATCTCTCCTACTTTGGAAAACACACCTAGAATATTTGGCTCTCTGTTTGGCAGTGGACAAGGAGCCCAGCACAGTGGGGACCTCAGGATGGAACAAAAGTGAGCACACATCATACTGTCCTATCCTCCGAGATTACAGTCTCCTGGGGGACAGAAGTGGAAATCATTCAGGGAAAATTCATGTGAGTGTGACTGCAGGAAATAGGTGGCAGCTATATGGGGCAAGGTGCAAGAGCCAGATGTGGATCTGGAAGAAAGCAGGACAGTTATGAGATGGACTGGGCGTCTGGACAGCTACCAGAACTGTGAGCGCCAAGGTGGGCAAGGCCCACACTGGGGCAGAGAAAAGACCTGAGTAGTTAGGGGGAGAGTACACATTAGAGGACATGTGGAGCCACCTGGCTCAGTAAGTCCAGGCCACGCAGCAGAGATTTTCAAATGCCCGGCCGAGGAGTAAAGATCCTGTAGAAGCAGGAGCATGGTGTGGTGAAGGGCGGGGCAGATGAGTACCTGGAGACATCCGGAGGTGGCAGGCTGAAGGAGGAAGAGGGCTGTGTGGGAGGAGGCAGGGTGCTGGGAGAGCACAGCTTTGGCACCACACATTCCTGCCTACCATCCTGTCTCTGCTTCTGACTAGCTGCATGACTTCGGCAACTTAATTACTGTTCCAAGCCTCAGTTTCCCCACCTGTTGACTAGGCAGTGGAGTCACTGTCACGATGCACATAAAGACTTCTGCAGGGTGTCAGCTACATGGTCTTTCCTGTCCTACTCTTTCTCCCATCCCCAGCACAGGGCACCAGCTCCATAAGAGCAGTGGGAAATGACGAATAGAGAGGCCTGTGGCACCCAAGAACGGGGTCATTGCATGGAATTAAAGCTCCTGGCCTGGTTCCATGGCATTTCCTGAAGTCCCTGATGGCTCCTTTAGGAAGGCCTGGGACATCTTGGGCCAGGAGGTAGTGTGATCTTGCAGGTCTGTGAATAGCTGCATTGTGGGGTCAGGACTAGAGCCTAGCCTCCTAGTTCCAAGTACTGTGCTCTCTGATGCACCTCAAGGTGGCCCCTCTATGTGCAGCTTCAAGAGCATTCTGAGAAGGGAGAGACTGCCCAGGACTTTCCCAGAGGCTCAGGGTCCAGAGGGTGTGGGGAGAGGAGGACCAGGACACAGAGAGGAAGGGAAAGACCGAGAGACTAGGGAGATTTGGGTCTGGACCTGGAAGGAGCCGTCATACCAGGATGGCCTTCACCATGGTGACCAAGAGAATGGATGGAATGGATGGGGGAGAATGGAGAGTCAGAGCTGAGGAGTTAGCTGAGCCTGAGAGGTTGGGTGAGAAGTTAGAATCGGGGTTTTGGGGAGCATCCAAAGGGAAGTTTCTCCAGGCAATAGGGGTGACAGTTCCTGATTAGGAAAGAGATTGTTGTTAGAGACAAAGTAAATCATGAGGCTGATTTTCATATAGGTTTGTAAAGCTGTTTTCTTATATATTTGGGAATTGGCCACCTAGGGTTAGTTGCTGATTGAATGAGAAGACATTTAAAGCATAAAGACAAGTATGAGTTAAGAACTGAGCACAGGGACACTCCTTGTTTAAGGAGAGGAGGAGGAAGAAAATCTGGGAGCTCCTGAGGCTGGAAGGACTGTAGCCCTTAAAAAGACAGAATAAGTAGTGGCTGTGTACCTGTGACTATGAGGATAGAAATGTTTTTGCTGTGACCCTGTGAAGCACAAAGAGAGGAGATGCCAGAGGGGTTCTGAGAGGGGACTCAAGGATACCAGAGGAGGTGGTTCTCAGCTAGCTGGTAGGGGTAGGGGAGCTCCCACAATAGCCTCTCTCTCTCTCTCTCTCTCTCTCTCTCTCTCTCTCTCTCTCTCTCTCTCTCAGTGGCTGGCTGCTAGACTCTGCCTGGGGCTGCCCTGTTTACAGGAGCTTTCTGGAACATTCTGGAATATTCCTGAGCAGCCTTTCTCTCCATACAGATGGGGGACGAGAGCCCCAGAGTCCAAGAGGGATTGCAGGTCGGTGTCTCAGAACCCCCAGGGCCTTGGGCTACTTAGTATCTTGTCCTGGGGCTGGGGGTGACCCAGCTGCCTGCTTCTTCTTTTTTTTTCTTTCCAGTCTTCTTCTGGCAAGGCCACACAGGGATCAAGTATAAGGAGGCAGTAGAGAGCTGCCCCATACATGCCGTTCGCTGTGATGGGGTGCTGGACTGCAAGCTGCGGAGTGATGAGCTAGGCTGTGGTAAGGAGGCCAGCATGGGTGAGCATGTGTGTGTGTGTGTGTGTGTGTGTGTGTGTGTCCATGCAGGCATGTACAAGTGCTAGCATACATGTGTGTGTGCATTCTGGTGACTACAAACTGTGGTACAAACTGTATGACAAGAAGTGGTGGACAAACAATCAGAAGATCAGGATTCTAGTTTCAGTAGATATAGGGTTGAAACCTGGCTTTGAGTGCTTTGTGACTTGGGTAAGTCACTTGCATCATTTGTCTTTCCCTGGGCTTCAGTTTCCTATTTTGTAAAACGAGTGTATTGGACAAGTTTAGTGGCTCTCAAAATCTGACAACTTTCAAATGGCAAACTGAGCAAAGCAGATCAGCTCTGACTGGAGCCCCATCTCGGGCCCTTCCTCTTTGGCTAGCAGGTGAGCTCCGACTTCAAGTCTTAGATCAGTACTAAGATCTCTCTGAGCTCTAGTCCTCAGTGGTTTGTGCATGCACAATGAGCTGTGGGGTGTGTGCAGCCCTGCTATGAGGTGTGCGTGCATGTGTGTGCATGTGCATGTGCATGTGCATGGGAGAGTCCCATCATTTCACCTCTGCATTTACATGTACCTTTGTCCACAACTTCATCCATTTGTGACCGACCTTGCTCTGTGGGGACTCAGTGACACACTAGATCTGTTTTCCCTGTCACTGTCTCCTTTGGGCATGGGAGCGGCCCTCTCAGAATGACAGCTCCTGTCTGTGCTTGCCCCTTCTCCCAGGGAGAGCTGGATGGAGAGCTCTCGCCCTGCCTCAGCCCTTTGCCTTGGCTCTGCCCTTACTTTGAACCTCTGGCTACTGCTACTCTGGTCAACCTCCTGGGTTTTCCCTGGGCCTCAGTGATGAATCCCAGCACAGGAGCTTCTTCAGCTCATCCCTCAAGAGCTCGAAGGCTTCTGGGTACTGAGGACCTGCTCTGCCTTTTATGCCCTGCAGTGAGGTTTGACTGGGACAAATCTCTGCTTAAAGTCTACTCTGGATCCTCCCATGAGTGGCTTCCAATCTGCAGCAGCAGCTGGAATGACTCTGACTCTCAGAAGACCTGCCAGCAGCTGGGGTTTGAGAGGTAAGCCTCCTGAGAGTCCCTGCTTTGGGGTGCTATAGGCACTTCACGGGCTGTCACAGGCATATTGCTGACACCTCCTAGTGTTACAAAAGCCCTAGGGACCAGGGCTGATCTTACCAGCTCAGGACACCCTGGGATACTATGAGTGTGGGGCAAGCTGTTTTCCTGAGGTCTAGGTAATTCTTATAGAGCTGTAATCATATCAGCCTCCTCTACTGTTCTTTGCATCGAAGCATTCCTGGGTCTATTACCACATTGAGTGGCTACAGGAGCGGCCCTGTGAAGGTGATGGGCATTTAGGCAGGATCTGTCTTCTGACATCTGGGAACTAAAAGCTCAGGTTATGCAAAGCCCTTCTGTGGACTTTGAGCCATGGCGGTTGTGGCTTGGGCTAGAATTCATCAAATGAGAAATGAGACAGGGCAGGTGTGGCTTTGCCATGTCCTAAGAAGTTTTAGCTGTAAAGATTTTCAACCAAGCAGCCAATGGGTACCCTATAGAAAAAGCACCTGGAAAACTAGATTCGGGGACTAGGACTCAGAGCTAGTTCTCTGCCCCCTCCTCAGCCTGAGTCCTGGTCCCTAACATGAAATCTGAATGATCCAGATAGAAGACTATGGACATCTTTCCTATAATTTGTGTGAGCTCATGTAAGTGTGAACCCCTTGGGCACTTGGTTCTTTGTCATTTATTCGAAGTACATTCATTAAATTTTCATGAGGTGCCAGAGACTACATGCCACCCAGGCACAGAGGAGTAAGATGAGATCCCATACTTGAAGACCCTCTAGTATGGTATAGGGAAAGGAGGCTTACTCCAACAACGCCACGCAAAGAATGTATATGAAGCACCATGGGCATATGGTGGAGAGCAAGCCTAACTGCACTTGGAGGAAAGAGCAGAAGATAGAAAAGTAAAAGCAGAAGGTAAAACTTGCTGAGCAAACACTTAAGGTGATTCACAGGCACACTGCATTCTGAGAGTCACCACGGTGCTTGGCAAAGGTTCTCAAACTTTAACGTGCAGATTCAGATTTGGATTCAGTAGGTCTGGAGTGACACTGATGTCTCTGGTCTGTGGATGACAGTTTGATTAGAAAAAGGCTAGATTGCTGTTTCTCAAACTTAAGCATGAGTTGAAATTGCCCAGAGAGCCTGTTAAAAGATAGGCTGCTGGACACAGCCACCAGAGCTTCCGATTTTGCAGGTCTGGAGTAGGGCTCAAGAATGTGCATCTCTAACAACTTCCCAGGTGATACGGATGCTGCTGGTCCAGGAGGACCACACTGTGAGAAATATCAGGCTAATATATAGAGCCAGTGGGGGATAGGGACAGAATATGAGGATGAGGCCAGATCCATCCCCTGTATTAGGTCTTGACTGCTACCCAGTAGCGTGGCCACGATACAGACCATTATAGCCCAGTCTTTATCTTCAGGGCTCCAACCAGAGGGGAGCTTTAATACTAGCTTTAATACTTGGGGTGCTGTCTCCATCAGGCTCATTCTTCTTCCCCCTCCTCTCACAGTGCTTACCGGACAGCTGAGGTGGCTCACAGGGATTTTTCCAGCAGCTTCTCAATCTCTGAATACAACTCCACCATCCAGGAAAGCCTCCACAGGTACAGTGGGGCAAACCAGGCTTCCTGTGTGTGAGCAGGGAAAGGGGGCTAGAAGGCGGGGCTTTGAGCCAGAGAGACCCTCTCCCTGGCCTTTCTGGTATATGTGCTGCCGAAGCAAGCACAACCCTGGCCTTTGTGGACCCAGGCTCCAGAAGAGCATCACGAATACTCTGGGGCCCCTCAGAAATGGTCCTTGTTCAGCACGATGCCTCCTGGCTTAAAAGTGATATTTGAGGCTTGGGGTAGAAGGCACCTGGAGATCGGTGGGTCAGGGACTGAGAGGCCCATTTGAGAAGCATTGGCTTCCTCCTGGACCCTTCTTGGGTCTCCTCCTAGGCTTTCTGTCTTCTGCCATCTTTGCACTGCAGCCCTACTAAGGGTTAGGTTGGAGGGTGCTCCACCAGTTAGCACTGCTCACTTGGCAGAGGAAAAGAAGGAGAAAGGCTCTGTGAAAGGAAGTGGTGTGAATGGATAGGAATGAGGTGGTAAGCGAGCAGGATCCAGTCAGGAAGGCTCTTTGGAGGAGGTAGCAAAAGTGCCCTTTTCCCACCCACCATGTCTTCTCCTGCAGGTCTGAATGCCCTTCCCAGCGGTACGTCTCTCTCCAGTGTTCCCGTAAGATGTTCATTTTCTTTCTTAGACTGTGGCCTGTGTGGGTTGGGAGTCAGGGGACAGGGGAATGGGCCCTTCCAAGAAAGGTGCTGACCCTGGGGACCCAAGACAAGAAGCTGGGCCCAGTCAGAAGGTCTACTGTGAGGTGCTGGGGCACCCAGGGTACTGTTTTCCCTCTTAACTCTCATGGGAGCTTAGTCAGCAGCCCCTCTCTTGCCAACAATGCCACTTGAGGCCCCTGCACTCTGGGCAGGGGCCAAGGGTTGGGCAGGAGAGCAGCTGGGGACCAGCTGAAAGCTTGGCACCAGCAAATGAAGAACTGGATGCACTGATACTGTGTACACTGTATCAGGAAGGCAATGCACCCATCTCTTTACAAACATGCTTGCACTCATGCCTACACCAACCCCACAAGGCAAGTGCTATTACTGTTTACTTACTGAAAAGAGATCAAAATGTTTACCTTGCCTAAGGTCAGACTAACTACTAGTAGTTGAGGAGCTGGTATCTGACTTGAGGTCTGACCCCAGAGCCCAGGCTGTGAACTGTGCCACATAGTTTGTGTTCTCAGTGACAACTGGAGATGGAGTACCCACTCTTCAGGGAACTGCTGGCTCCTCGGTATTCCCGTGAAAGGAGAAACACACACACACACACACACACACACACACCCCTGAACAAACCTCCCTTGTCCATGACTGTAGGGGGCAACTCGCTCCAGAATGCGCTTTTAGATGAAAGGTTCTCGGCAGCACTCGGTGGCCCTTCCTGGCACCATGTAGGCACAAATCCACCAATGTTTCATGAGGAGTTTATTTCTCCCTTGTTTTGAAATGATAGACATTCCCATCACAATGCTTATTAATCCAGGGTCATGTTAGGATCTATCTGCTTTCCTGAGTCCCTGATGATAGCCCTGGGATTCCTCTCAGAACTACAATGCCTGCTGGCTCAGTGCTGAAGCATGGGGCAGGTATAAGTATTTGTCAAATTAGTGAAAGAATGAATAAATGGGAGGAAAGAGGAACCGGTCTAGGGTCAGACTTCCTACTGGAATAAAGCCAGAAAGCTAGCCCACCCTGTGACATTTCTGCTTGGGCCGGAAACATCTGCGCTGCTTTAGACTAACTGAGCAAAGAGACATCTGGTGGGTGCCCTTCAGGACAGGGCTGCCCAGTCTGCCCTGGGCTCAGGGAGCATGGCCAAGAGTCTGAGAGAAGCAGGGTTCACGATTTGTCTCTTCCACTTCCCCAGACTGTGGACTGAGAGCCATGACTGGGAGGATCGTGGGAGGGGTGCTGACCTCAGGGAGCAAGTGGCCCTGGCAAGTGAGTCTGCACTACGGCACCACCCACATCTGCGGGGGCACACTCATCGACCCCCAGTGGGTGCTCACCGCTGCCCACTGCTTCTTTGTGTGAGTGACCTGGGGCCCTGTGAGTCAATGCTGCTTGGGACCAGGGATCCCCAGGAAGGGCAGACAGACCTCTCAGTGGAAGAGGACTTTGGTGTGATCCCAGTTCCTGTGGAGTAGGCAACCCTGGTGCTGCTTGGGTGACCACTCCAGAGTCAGAATTTGCAGTCATTACTTGATCTTGGGAGTGTGAATTAGGGTACTTGCTCTGAGCTGGCCCCAAGGATGAGAAAATGCCACTCACAGCTCCCAGGGAGAGTGAGGTAGGTAGGCAGAGGGACTTCAGATCCTGCTGCTGAAGAGCCCTGAAGAGTCTTTGAGCTTGTTGCTGCCTCCTCCAATAGAAACTTACAGCAGAGGAGCCCAAGAAACCAGGAATGCTGTCGCTGGATTTGAGGAATGGGGACTGAAGGGCATCGGTGTAGTTGGCTCTTGACATTCCCCAGCCAGCCCTGTCCCTTTGGGAGTCCATAGCCCAGGCCTCAGGAGCACTGGCTTCCCAAGTAATGAGTCTTCAGCAGGTCACTTTGCTCTGACCCAATCTCTGACTTCTGAGGGTCCTACGGCTCCCACTGTATTTGGCCCTTGGTGGTATGCCGATGAGATTGCAGGGGTTGAGCACCACACAGAGGTTTCATTCATCCCTTCCCCTTTCTCACTGTAAGGTGCACAGCAGCCAGCTCAGAGCAGTTTTGTGGGGGCATGGGGGAATTGTTTTGAAGATAGAGGGCTCCCTCCATAGGTCATTTCATCCATTCTGCTGTTGGTGCTCCTGCTGCAACTCCCTATGCCTTTCAGGTGCTGCCTGTGAACTCTGCCAGGATGGTAAATGGACCTTGTATTGGCTTTTGCAGGACTCGGGAGAAGATGCTGGAGGGCTGGAAGGTGTATGTAGGCACCAACAACCTGAAGCAGCTGCCTGAGGCAGCCTCCATCGCCCAGATCATTATCAATAGCAATTACACCGATGAGCAGGATGACTATGACATTGCCCTCATGAGGCTCTCCAAGCCCTTGACCCTATCCAGTAAGCAAATTGGGGCCCCCTCTCTCTTCTCTGGTATCATCAGCAGCCCTTGGACTTGGCAATGCCCTGTTGACCCACCTCAGGGCCCCAGAGTATCAGCATAGTAAAAGTCAAAGACCTTTAGAGATTCTTAAATGGAACACTTCTATTTTACAATTGAGGAAACGGAGGCCTAACGATTAGAAATAAGTTTGCCCCAAATGACACATCTCATGTTACAAATTGATGTCAGAGCCAGGGCTTGGATACTGCTTTTAATCAGTATAAATACACTGATCCCCACCGCCATAGTAGCTTAGCACTTAACAGACACCAGAGACTGTGATAGACGTTTGACAAATATGATTGACTTACTCTTCACAATCAACCTTATGGAGCATGTCCTATTATTATTAGCTTCATTTGGCATATGAGGAAGTGGAACTTTAGAAAGAAATAATTACCTGAGGCCATGAGCGATAGGTGGCAGGTCCAGGATGGGATCCAGGTTAATCTGATTTCCAACCAATGCTCTTCCCACTTGCCTCTGGACTGGCCAATTGTATACACTGCAATGAAGAAGTGAACCAAGTACATATTCAATTAACTAACTACTCCAAAGTTGGAGTGAATGAGGCTATTCCATGATAATACTGGGGAAGTTCTCAGATCACTGTACCAAAGAAGGCTGCGTTCATTCATTCACTCATGTACTCACTCATCAAATACCACTTCTGTGGCTGTAATGGCAAATAGAACAAAATGAATAATATACACCTAGAAAACTGAAAGAGGCCAATGATGGCATGCTGGGGAGCTGGGAGAGTTGTGGAGGCATAGATGGGGCCCCTGAATCATTCTTGGCAGGGTGAGGGAGGCTTCCCCAGAGAGGATAGCTAAGGTGGGTTCTGAAAGAACTAGTGAAGGCAGGTAAAAGGGAGGGAAGGTCAGGAGGGACCCTGAAGAATGGAGTTAGGCAACGTTGCATGCTTCAGAGGATCAGGAAGCCTTGGAGGACTCTCTGGTTAGTCCTGCCTTCCCTGTGTTCTAAGCCTATGAGCTTGTGTTTCCTGGCACATTCATTTTGGAGGTGGTGTTTGTCACGTGTCATACAGTTAGCTCATCTGAGTTGAGTGAGGAGGAGGATCCCTGGCAGAGCTGGATGGCTGGCCCACAACTTCATCTACCAGAGGCCCCACCAATAAGCCACTCCTACTCAAGCCACGCCTTCTGCCCCTCCAGCCCTGTCTGGGGAGCCAGGGGCTAAGCAGGGGAAAGGGTACCTGGTGCCTCCTGCCCTGCCACTTACGCACACATACAAGGGGACAGTCTGTAGCACCAGACAGGCCTTCAACCTACAAAACTCAAATTACATTTGGCTAAACATCTGAGTCTTACGTCTCATTCTCCCTTGGGTTCTTAATGTTATTGGAATCCCAAAATAAATCAAGTAATTTCTAAAGCCAGTGAAAGCTATTATAATATCTCATAAGCTTTTCAGATGGTGGCAGTCCCTCTTCAGGCTCTGAATAGGAAGCAGACCCTTAGTCTGAGAATTGCAGATGAAATCCTGTGATCAGATCATTTGTCCTAACTTTTGGTTTACAAATCAGGGCAAATTTTTCTTAAACTGAGTTGGCAGGCCAAACACCTTGAAGTCACAATACTTTCTGAGAAAACTTGTGAAAACTCACTGATAAATTTAATTCATCTATAAAAACAAGTGGAATATATAACAATGGGACATACAATAATGTTACACATTTGAAAGATTTTATATATTAAAAATGAGCATAGAAAAGAATGTTCTGCAGTTTTGTTAATAATTTATGTTATCCCTTCATTGATTTGTGTATTTACTCTTTAGCAGACAATATGTGGTAGACAACATTTAAAGCCCAATTTGTGAGAAAAGACTTTAATATTCATTCATTCTTCCCTCCCTCCTTTCTTTCCTTTCTCTCTGACTCTGTCTTTAAATGTTCAGTGAGCACTTAATATGGGTCAGGCACTATTCTAGGATGCTTCAGGTAAACATAACAAATGACTGAGAAAACTGGAAAATTCTATCTAATAATATTTTCTTGCAAATGAATTGCAGTGGTCAGTGCCTTAGTCCATCTTGGGGCACCAGGCTACAGAGGGTGCCTATGAAGCATTATTCGACAGCACCTTCAAAATACTGCTGAGTGCGAGAGCAAGTTAGCATGGCTTTGTAATCTGTGACTCCAAGAATGTGCTTTTCCTGCTTGGAGAGGTTTCTCACTCTGTGCCAAGTAAACATTTGGAGAGACAGCCGTGGGCTCTGGCCAGTCAGCTGGTGTCCTCCCAGATCAGCCTGTGCACACTGTGAGACGCCATGGCCCTAACATCTTGGACTGAGCTTGCTGCTCTCCCTTAGTCTGAGATAAAGGCATGGAAGAGGCCTAGCCAGTGTAGTGACTGTAGGTGGGGAGAGACCTTCAGCTGCTCAGTATCATTTTGGCCTAAGAAAGCTTCCAGGGCTATGGACCTGCCTACATGGCCACCACTGAAATCAGAATGGCTTTGAGGAGTTTAGCAGCACCCAACAACTGGTAGTTTTAGATAAAGTGATTGAGTTTCTTGCCTGGTC